TAAAAACGGCAAGCTGCTTCACACTGGGAAGATATTTTTCCCCTCTGATGAGCTGATCGGCGAGAAGCTGAAGGTTGTGGCTTACCACAGCGAGTGGCCACACACGTCTCGAAAGGAGTCTATCTCGAGCCGATCAGTACTGCCGTCACCGAGTATTGGCACCTTTAGAGATCGCCGTTTGCCTGAAGCATTGGAATCTACTGATTCTACTCATCTGAGAGTGGCCAGTTTTAACGTTCTTGGCCAGCGACATATTCGTACCCCCTTGGAGCCTATATTCTACCATGTGCGCGACTGCAAGGAAGTGGTAGAGTTCGAGTACCGCGCGCCGTTGATATTGAGGGAGTTGTTCGACGTGAATGCGGACATTGTAGCCTTCCAAGAAGCTGATGCTCGGTTCATAGATACGGCGAGTGGCGCTCTGTCGTCGGAGTATACCTTTTGGTTGGCCGAGGATAAGGGTCGGGAAAGTGAGGGGAATAAAGGGCGTCGTGGTGAAGGATGCGGCCTTGCCTTTAAGAAGGCTCGCTTTGTGAAGATAGGACAGAAGATGCTCGAACTTGGCACGGATGGTTTGCTGCAGGAGTTCACTCCTGAGGAGATCGCTATGCTCAAGGAGCGATGGGCTGGGGTTGATATTTTCAAGGATGTTTTTGACAACCTCGGTATGATTGGTCAACTACTCACGTTGAAGGATAAGGCCACGTCCAAGTTGTATATTGCGGTGAACACTCATCTTTATCACAGTCCTAAGGCGCCCCATGTGAAGATTTTGCAGACGCATATGATCATGAAGGCACTTGAACGACTGTTGGCTGAGATCCCTGAGGCTGTTCCTATCTTCTGCGGTGATCTCAACTCCTCATTCCCTGCTGAAGCTGTTGTCGATTACATAACGAGAGGGGATATGCCTGCTGACCATCGGGACTGGCGAAACGGTCCGTTTTTCACCTGGACGAACCGCGAGTGTGAAGGTGTTGATCGATCGACTGTCAAGGGCCCTCTCGGAATACCACTACACCACGGCGTTGAGAATCTCGAGCATGTTCCTGAGGAGGGATACACGAACGCCGTTTGTGGTTGGGCAGGAATTATCGATCACATCTTCTATGATCGTCGTCACCTTCGTCCAGTGTGGAGTCTACCTATACTATCTAAGGCTGATATCGAGTCTTGCAATGGTGCTCTACCGTATAAGTTCTATGGCAGCGACCATTGCATGCTCACTACTGAATTCCAAACATTACTGTGAATGAGGACTGCTTAACTGGAGCAGCCAGCTCGAGATTATTAATAGCCGTTGACAATTCTCTAGTTGTTGTTCAGCGAGTGTAGGGTTTCCCTATGAGAGTATAAAGATCATTGCGTTGAAAAGTTAGTGCCAATAGTAACGTAGTCGGAGTATATAGGGGACTAGAAATTCTCCAACATCAGCAACTGCTGAATCGATCTGGAAGTATGATATTCCAGATCTCTTATTTTGATTTATAGTAGCCAGCAATGCTATGAGGAGTCTCGGTTGTGGTGAGAGTAGTTTTGTAAGCCGATTGTTATATGCGGTGATCATGGTCAAGATGGCATGTGTCAATTTGAAGTCCAATGTCGTCGTCGGCTTAGACTCGAAATGCCAGCCAGCATTTTAGTAATGACCTTTGTTCGGCTATCTAATAAATTCTGATGCTATAGTAGGAACGTGTTAGATGGTTATGAATCGAATTTTTGCTGAACTCATGAGCCAATTGAACTTCCTCCTTTTTAACGATTCCAAATCATATTCACTCTATTCTCCATAATCAGTATTACGAACACACGCTTAGAATCGAATGGAAACGCATACGCAGTGATCCATCTATTGTAGGGAGTCCCACTAGGCTCCCTACAGGAGGAAATAGAAGTTTGTAACAACGAAGT